TCCCCCGAGCCCTTCTCTAAAACAGGCAGCTTCCAGCCTTATATACCCTTCTAAAAATAGCCTGCCGCGCGCGCGGCCAATCAGGACGGGTCGAATTTCGAATCGGCCCAATCGCGCGGGCCTTGACGGAGAGGCTCGGTCACGCCAGGAGGAGCCGAGATGCGTCGCGCGCGCCCATTGGGCGTCTCTGACATCATTGGAACGCGGTGTAACGAGTTTGTTGTTAGAGATTGGGCCGCGTTCGGAGCCGGCGTAATGGGATCACGAGGTGGTGGTTGAGGCCGGGGGGGGGGAGCGGAGGGAGTAAAGGGGGCGGAGCGAGAGTAGTTTGGAGGAGGAGGAGGGAGGGGGAGCGAAAAGAGGAGGGAGCAGCCGGAGGAGGAGGTGGAGGCTGTGGCTAAGGAGAGCTTTGAATAGGGAAGTTTTGCAGGGGGTTACATTCGCAGTCATCGCAGTGTTTGCAAATATTGGGTGGGCTCCTGAGCAAGTTATCTTCTCGAGAGAGCCGCAGGAATTCGAAAGCCAGGACCGGTCGCGTCGAGCCGAATTTATTTTGGGGATTTTTTGCCTTGCAAAAAAAAAGGAAAAAAGAAAAATCCTTTCTATATTGCTGTGCAATTAAACTTTGCATGAAACTTTTGCTCTTTTTTTTTTTTTTTGGGAAAACAAAACAAAAACCATGTGTTCCCTGTTCATCTGAATCCCGGATTTGAATATATGTCTATACCTAGAGACACGCCGTCTTTCGCTGTTTGTGGCGGACGCTGCTGCTTCTCTCGCTCGCTCGCGCTCGGAGGAGGAAGTGGGTCTGTGTAAATACGCTCGGTCGTCTCGCTGTCACCGTCACCTGCCACTCTCGCCGGCCGCAGCCAGAGGACAAACTCCGTTGATGATTGCCAATTTGTTAAAAACAAAAGACCGAGCCAGCTTGCCGGCGGACGCTTGACTTTGGCGGAGGGGGCTTGACTCTGTTGCTGGTGTCATTGGCATTGTGTATCCGTGGGGGTGCAACTTCCCAAAGACATGGATGTTCTCCCGATGTGTAGCATCTTCCAGGAACTGCAAATTGTGCACGACACTGGGTATTTCTCCGCTTTGCCATCTCTGGAGGAATATTGGCAACAGGTAAAAAAAAAACCGAAAAACCAAACGACACTGGAGATGAGCTTATGCTTGGCATTGTTGCTTTTAGAGCACTGGAAATGATTTCCACCTCCCCCCCCCCCCAAGCACTGGTGTAAAGGAGATGAATTTTTTTTGGTTGCCTTTTGAGGAAGCCCTCTCTTAGATCTCAATGGTTGCTCTTTAAAGAAAAAAAAAAGATTTTATTTTTAAGCAGGTGTTTGGGGTCAGGGTCCCCCCCTTAGCAAAATGCATGTTCTCTTCTCTCCCCCCCCCCGTTTTCCAGAGCATTGCTATTCTGAACGGCGCTGTCAGATCTTGCACAGAGTGGCTGGTGGGGTTTGAACGCTTGTTCCTCGCTCGCTCATCAAAACAACAGCCGCTAGAGTGGAATGTTGCCATTGCAATTTTTTTTTTAAGAAAAAAAATCCCAAATTCTTGGATCTGCTAGAATTAAGCCTTGGCCAAAGCCCCCTTCCCATGCCTTGTAACACATCTCAGCCATGCAACTAAGTCTTGACATCCGAAGTATTTTTCATTTGCAAGTTGTTTTCCAGCCTCCCCTCCCCCCCTTGCTGTTTAAATGGCGGGGGGGGGGATACTCTCTGCTTACTCGCTATGATTGGCTCTGTGAAAGATGGCCAACGTTTTCCCCGCTGTGTGTGTCGAGGAGTTTGGGTTTGATTATTTTTAAAAATTCTTCTTTCCCACCCTCGCTAAGCAGCGAGTTGTCGGTCATATGACAATGACCCTCTGGTGGTGTTATTAATCCCCCCCTCCATTGCTAGGAATCTTTGGGGGGGGGTAATGGGATTCTCTTGCCTTTAAAGGACATGGATTTCTGTTTTTCTTGTCGGTCCAAGGCTTGGAGAGACAAGACAAGATCTGTTTATTTTGTCCAGGCTTGAGGGTGGTTTTTTTTGTGGGGGGGGGCATGTTTACTTCGCCTTTTTTTACCCCCTGGCTGCCAGATTTGCTTTTTCTGCCCAACAAGATTGGCCCGATCGGATCAGTGCCTGTTTGTTTTGTAGAGCTGGAGAAGCCAGCAAAAAAAAAGAAAGAAAGCCTGATACTCAAAAGTATTACAATCTCCCCCCAACACACACACACACCAGGCATGTCTCTTGATTGTATTCTCCATTCTCCGGTTTCCTCCCTCCCCCCTTTTTCTTCTTCTTTCAGAGGCACTACCAATAGTACGTGATTGAAATTGATCTAAGTAGTTTCCTTCAGGCATTTTGGGATTTTGGCGAAGAGCCAACGCTGGGATCCCAGTAGCCTTCGGAGGCATTCGCAGCCCTTCTGAGCGGCAGACTGGTCCTGCCACCTGATTTGCATAATGGGGGAAATTTTAAATCCACCTCGAATACGAAAGTTGAGCTCAACTCTTCCTAATATAAATCCCCTTCCTGTTTCCTTAATGAAGCAATACCTTTGTAGGGCAGATCTCCCCCCCCTTTTTAAAGTGCACTGTGAATCAGCTGTCTAATTATAGGGAAACCTATAAATATTGATTGCCTGGCATTAGTTTCCCACTTCTTCCACCTCCCCACTCCCCAGTTAATGAGGGAGAAGAGAAATTAAAAAGGTTTGTGCCTCTGAATCAGCACCTTAATATGACAGAAACTCTCCTGAAACTGACACTTCAGCCGGGAAAAATGTCCGGCATTTTCTTTGGGGGGTCAGTTTTGCTTGTACTGCTGGGAGTGGGGGAGAGGGAGCATGCTAAAATTAAGGTAGCCAGCACTTGTGGGGGGGGGGGGGGCATGTCACCGGAAGAATTTGCCCTAGAAACTGAGCCCCTACATCTGATGCTGCTAACATGCTGCTACTTTGGGATGTAGAACCTGAATTCTGAAGGGAAATAAGTCCCGGCTGATACTTTCAAAGGGCAACACTTGCAGTTTCCCCTCTCCCTGTCAAAGGTCTCTGTAGTTGTTGGGGGGAGGGGAGGGGGGAGGGGGGCCACGACTGGAACATTGTGTCACCGGGTGGGTTGTTTTGTCTTATTTTTTGAAGAGGAAGGGGTAAGTTTACATGTTCCATGTATATTTGAACCGTGTACTTTCTTGGCAGAGGGTCGGGATATTTTAAAGGAAGTCTGATTTGGCATTGAGTGAAAGAAGTTAGGGGATGACTCATAACCGTTGCGCTCTTGGCCAGGAGATAAAGTTCTTGTTCATTGTGGGACTCCCAAAAGGACAGCGAACTGTACTTCCCCCAGTTTCTCTCTCCAGTTGTTTGCCTTCTTAATTTGCTGAGGGCTTTGTTCTTCTTCTTCTTTTTGCAAGGCTGCTTTAAAAATTGTCCAGATTTGTTGTTGAGAGGGCTTTTGCCACTCCAGCCCCAACAAGAAGGGCCTCCTGTGAAGCCAGGCACATGCCAGTACACTTAAGCAGTGGCATTCTCTGCAGTTCTCCCTTAGCATGGCTTTTCAGATGTAGGAAGTGGGCTGGATCACAGTGCCCCTTGGATAGGGATCACCAACCATGGCAGGCAGCCATGAACCGTAGTAGGGTTTCCAGCTTGGTACAGGCCAAGATTCAAAATTAATGTCGAGATTCAAAATTAACTTGAGATCAGTGAATAAAGTGTTGGGGATATTGGGAAATGAATCAGAGTCGGGGGGGGGGTGAGGGTGAGAAGAACCTGGCTTTTAGGGT